CTGTCTCTCTCTGTCCCAAAAATAAATAAAAACGTTGAAAAAAAAAAATTGAAAAAAAAAAAAGATGGAATCAATGAAAATGACGACATGCCATCAGAAGTCCCGTTAATGAGATTTGTTTTCGCTATTTTTACTTTCTGGCTTACGTCAAGGGTTGCTAGCAAGGGTCCACCCCTATCGTCTGGAGAGAAGCGGTAAAGGAGGCACTGGGTCCGCGGGCAGCGCACGAAGGGAGAGATGGGACTCACTGGGAATGGCTCCCTCGGGCCGCCCCGCCTGCCCGGTGCGGGTGGCGAGCAGGGGCGGGCCACGGCAACAATTCTCCCCACCACCCGTCCGCCCACCCCACGGGGGCCACCGGAGACCAAACCGGAGGGCCATACAGAAGTCACTGAAGTGGTAATGAGGCTGGCTTGGTCTTCATTTGCGGCAGAGTGGGAATGTGTATTTAGAAACCCGCCTGAGGGGTGCCTGGGTGGCTTAGTAGGTTAAGTGAACGACTTTGGCTCAGGTCATGATCTCACGAGGGTTCGAGCCCCTGTGCTGACAGCTCGGAGCCTGGAGCCCGCTTCGGATTCTGTGTCTCCCTCTCTCTCCGCCCCTCCCCCACTCGCGCTCTGTCTCCGTCTCAAAAATAAACATTAAAAAAATGTTTTTTTAATAAAAAAAATGAAAATAAAAACCCGTCTGAGATGCTCACCACACAGCCAGAAGCCAGTGCCGATTCTTCCCTGAAGATGCTGAGCACTTTCTTAGCTTCCACTTAAGTCTGGGGAAGCATCTCTGCGAGCATTTCTGGTACCTTAAATGTCTCTAACCTCACCCATTTGACACCCTGGGTCACTCCTAGGTCAGCACGACAGAGAAAACTGTCAGGTGTCAATTTGCTAGTGTGTTTATGGCCCCACCGGTGGTCAGAGCATGTCCTACCAACTCTAACTCATCACAAATTCATTTGTCACTTTTTAGAACAACTACTTACTCTAAATGTCAGATCGTGTCCAAGAGGTGCAGTGTTGAAATACTCAAAAATAGAATCCTGAAAATCTGGAAGTTTCAATCCTATAAAAAAGAAACAGACTAGTCAAGGCAAATTTAAAAGACCATCTGTGCTCCCATGGGGAGACTGAGCACCATCAAGATGTCAATTCTCCTTAACCTAACGGATAAATCTGATGTGATTCTAGTTAAGTTCATTTGGAGAGTGTCTCAGAAGTCCTTAAAAAAAGGGGTTGGGGGAGTAGATCTACCAGATACTAAATCAGATTTACTGAAACCTCTTTCATCACAATCCAGTGGTTCCTGCCAGTGAACAGTGAACAGGGCAGGAAATCCAGAAACAGACTCAAGTGCCCATGGTGACCTCATGTGGTAAGAGTCACATACAAAATCGGTAGGGAGAGGAACTTCTCAATAACTGGTATTAGACGACCAGCCACAGGAAAAAGATAAAACTAAAAACTAGATCCACAACTCAAAATGCACATCAGAGTAAATTTCAAATGGACCAGTAATCCACATTTAAAAAATGAAACCTGTATACAAGTATTAGAAAATATGAGTGAATTATTTGAGTACCTGGGGACTCAGAAATATTCCCCTGTAACTGAAAAAAGGGAAAAAAATGACAAATGTGATGCACAAAAAAAAAAAAAAAAAAAAAAAAAACAAAAAAATTTATTAAAAAAAAAAAAAAAAAAAAAAAAAAAAAACCCAAAAAACTTTATGCTTGGTAAAAAATATAAGCAAAATAAAAATGACAAAAGACAAACTGGGAAAATATTTGCAACTTTCATCACAAACAAAAGGCTCTACATATTCTATCCTCCATCTACAAAAAGTTTCTAGAAAAAAAACTTACTCTGAATTTTAAAAAGTGAGCAAAAGATACAAATACATAAAATCACAGAATAAGAAAATCTCAAGGCGCGTGGGTGGCCCAGGCAGTTAAGCGTCCAACCCTTGATTTCAGCTCAGGTCATGACCTTGCGCTTTGTGGGACGGAGCCCCGAGTTGGGCTCTGCGCTGACAGTGCAGAGCCTGCTTGGGATTCTCTCTCTCCTTCTCTCTCTGCCCCTCCCCTGCTCACAAGTAAACATTAAAGAAAAAAAGAAAAGAAACACAAATAGCCCTTAAACATACAAAAGGTGCTCCATCTTGCTCGTAAGAGGGACGCAAGCACAATCTGTATTCTAATGCTCCTTCCCACCTGTTCGCTGTGTGCTCACACTGTGTGCACGCGGCTGTGGGGCAGCAGCCGTCGCCTGCGCGCGGGCAGGGACACACGTGCACAAGCCTCTGGGTGGCCGCGGTCACCGCCAGCATCAGCGCAAGCATGCTTACTCCTTGACCGGCACTCCCACTTCCAAAAATCTACCCCCACGTACCCCACAGAACAGGACATGTTACCCACACACGGCTACTCCTTACAGCACCTGCTGTGACAGCGAGGGAACAGCCCGACCCCCGTCCATAGCCCCCAGCAGGGTGCGGTGCCGCCGGGACGGGACCGGGCCACCTCTCATGCCGCGGCTCTACCCACTCACAGATCGGAGGCCCCAGCAGGCTGCCTCGTGTGATCAGGGGGACACGGATGGGTGACTCTACGTACACGTGTATTTGCTTTGCACTTCCAAGAGGAAACAGGAAGGATAAGCCACAAACTGTGGTTACCTTCGAGAAAGGCATATTTGAACATACGCTACCTGAGAATATTGGCTTCAAAATCATGTTAAGTGCTTTCTTTATATAACTAAAAACTATTAAATCTAAAATAACATCATGCTGTTAAAAAAAACCTTGTATTTAAATACTTCAGAAGCTTATAATTTACCAGTATCGGCTCTAAATTTTTCTTCCATCTTTTTCTTCAAAATTTCCATTTCTTCTAATAATTCTCTATTTTTGGCTTCGGAATCCTTTAGTTTACTAAAACAAAAAATAAAAAATAGAAGGCTTTAAGTACCCTGAGAACAGATATCTACACGTTGATTCAGTGAGTGTCAAAATGTGAGGGCAGGGGTTAATTTCCAGCGCCTGGGAAAGTGCCGGAACATGGCAGGCTCCCCGCTGCGAACGGAAACACAAATCCACTCTTGGCATGGGTGAGTCCTCTGAGCACGTTACAGAGATTACAGATATTTCAGAATTAGAAACAGACGTGGATTTTCAAAATCATGGTTAATGAAGGTGTATCTGGAGGCCCTCGTGGAGTTTCCGACCCTCCCAGTCTCTTTCCAAATGAGTCCTCTGTCCTCCGAGGACACACCACCCAGATTACTCAGCCATCAGACCTCCAAACGTCATTCCCACAACCAGCGAGACGGCGGGCTGCACGAGACCACGACCACCGCCTGAGCACAGCTGCTGGGGGGGCGGGCCTTCGTTCCTACGCTTTCCTGCAGGGACACAGCAGTCAGGCTGCTGCAGTGACCTGGCCAGGAGGCGAGCGGTGCAGTCCAGCAGCTGAGTGGGGGTTCTGCGCCGAATTAGCAGGTGATGCTGGCTGACCTACACCTCTCTGCATCTCGCTGTCCTCATCTGTAAAATGGGGCTCAAGAGTGCTGGCCTCCTGGGAACACCGTGACAGTCACGTGATTAATAGGATCAACCTCTTACAGGGAGCGTACCTAAACGGTAGCCATCACTACTCTTACTCTTTTAGCCCCAAACTAACAAGATGTGTGACTCGGTAATCCCATCAGTGACCCTGTTCGTGACATCCAGGTCCCCACCTTCCACATCAACAGCTACTACAGGTAGGGCGGCCTGGGTTTTACAAGAGAGCAGTTCACGACCATCTCCTGGGCATGTAAGACTGCCAGCGGCGGCCTCTCATCAAACATTCACTGAATTTACTGTTGTGTAAAAATGGTGTTTGAGGGTCAGAAAAAAGTTTTGAGATAGGCATACTGTCTTCAACCTGTATTTACAATATTAGTTTTAGTTTAAAAGGGAAAACTCGAAGTTGATGAAACAAACAGCACTTAGGGAACAAGCAGGCCAGAACTGTCCCTCAGACGTGTGGCCGTGTCTTGTCACCCGGCACAGGGAGGACCAGCATCTGCCTCTTACACACACAGATGTTGGCACTTCAAAACCGCGGGCTCCCATCGCTTCACTGCTTCCTGAGAAAATAAGCACAGACCTCCGATGCGCGCAGGGCATTTGCACATCCACCCCATCGATTCTCACTGAGCGCCTACTAGGGGCCAGAAACGGTCCACCGTGCAAAGCTCCTTCCAGTCAACTGATATCACAGAGCAGGGGTGTGCCCAAGGTCACACAGTCCCCTATCGAGTCAGAACACAGTACCAGGTACCTTTCAAAGGAGAGATTTGCGTCTTTGACTTTCCTCAGCTCCTCTTGAACAAGCTGTTTGGCCCGGATCTCCGCCTCAAGAGCAGATTGCAACTCTAGCCGTGCAGACATGTCTAGCTTCTGACTACGGCGCACTTTCCAAAGGGGGTCCTGGAGACAATGGTTCAGATATTAAAGATATATACATATATATATATACTTTTTTTTAAATTTTTTAACATTTATCTATTTTTGAAAGACAGGAATAGTGCAAGCAGGGGAGGGGCAGAGGGCAAGGGAGACACAGAATCTGAAGGTTCCAGCCTCTGAGCTGTCAGCACAGAGCCTGATGTGGGGCTCGAATCCATAAACTGTGAGATCATGACCTAAGATGAAGTCAGCTTAACTAACTGAACCACCCCAGCGCTCTAAGATATTATTTATTGACTTTATTTATTTATTTATTGAGAGAGAGAACGTGTGTATGCATGTGAGCCGGGGAGAAGAGAGGGAAGGAGACAGAGGGTCTGAAGCAGGCTCTACGCTGAAAGATAGCCTGATGCGGGGCTCAAACTCATGAACCGTGAGATCATGACCTGAGCTGATGCTTAACTGAGTCACCCAGGCACTATAAAGATACATGTTTCTACATTTTTTTTTAACATTTATTCATTTTTGAGAGACAGAGAGAAAGAGCATGAACAGGGATGGGGCACAGAGAGGAAGACAGAATCCAAAGCAGGCTCCAGGCTCTGAGCTGTCGGCACAGAGCCTGATGTGGGGCTCGAACTCACGAACCGTGAGACCATGACCTGAGCCACCCAGGTGCCCCTTTAAAGACATATTTTTAAGATATTTACTTGTTTAAAAAAATGTTGACACATAATTCATCTTCTTCTAATCTTAAACTTTTATTATCACGTTTAAATACTAACTTAATTAACTTAAATATTAATTTGATAATGTTAGATATCATCAAAGTCCATCAGACCCAATTTTAGTCTGGGCTTTTTATGACTTTTATTCTTTATTAGAGATCTTCAAAAGAATGAGCTGCAGCTTAAAAAAATTTTTTTTAAAGAATAAAACTCAACCAGGAGTGCAATTTCTATTTGGGTCCGTTAGACTCTCTTACAAACGTATGATATATTGTGGGGGTCTCCGTTGTCTTACTCTTCCTTTATCTTGAAACATCTCCTATTTCACTATCCGAGCAATTATGTCATTACTCATCAATCATCCCTGCCCACAACGGAAGACTGAAGCGGCAGGAAGAGTGAGGATGGAGGGCTCGGCAGGGTGAGGTTAACAGTGACCGAGACCAGCTGGGTGGCAGCGTGCTCCCCTTCTCCCACCGAGATGCTGCCTGTGTTCCATCCGCTCTCGAGAGGGACAGAAGGAATCTGGAGATTCCACTTTATTAGACTTTTTTAAAAGCTTTCAGTCCACACGGTTGAGAATTTTTCGTTTTCCGTCCATAAAGAGAAGAAAAGGGAACTGACTAGGGGTTTGCAGGGACAGAGAAACGGGCGCTTTATCGGACGCCAACGACTGTGATGAACCCAGTGAATGTCAGAAGCCTGAGTCTTCAGATGACCATGGCCCACACGGATTTCCTCAAGAATCAACGAGTGAACAATACACTTCTACGGACAGGAAGGAAATACACTTTCATCAGTCAGTCCTTCAACAGGAAGGACTGTTCACACAGAATTCTGCAACAAGAATATCAATCATCCCATTTTGCTAAAAGGACCTAGGGCTATATTCTTTCATCTTTCGTAAGGTTTATGCTCTAGGTTTATTTAACACAGTTCACAAGCACGAGTATACCCGTAGATATGACTGGAAGAGAAAACGCAGAAATGAAAAAAACTTGATCGTCTGAATTGGTACTTCTAAATCTAAAATCAAAAAATGAATATGTTCTCCAATTACAGAGCGAAGAACACAGCTGTATTCTTCGACAAGATGGTATATGTGCCGGGTGCTCAGGTGACAGGATGAGGAGGAGTAACGACATTCGACATAACACCCCCCCTTTGGGGCAAACACATCTTCAAACCAGCAAAACAGGGAATAAAAATCTGGGTTTGTGAAGTTCTAACTAAAACGCTAATGAAACAGTTCCCCTACGCCTTTATTATTACTAGTGTTCGTCACTTACAGAATAACTTACACACACATATTGTAAGAAAGGCAGACAGAAGGAGGGACACGTGGGGCTGCGCCCAGAAGTGAGCCTGGGTGGAGACGGCTCGCCAAACTCTGGGCACTCGAAACACACGGACCACTGACTGGGGGGGTCGGGGGGGTCGGGGTGGGAGTGAGAGAATGGACAAAATCCATCTCCTTGAGGGCAGGAGCCCGTCGCGCGAACTGCGGTCCCTCCACAGAGTGGCTGTGGTCTCCCAGTAGTTCAGACAGCGGCGCTCTGCACCTGGGGGGCGTCCCTGGCCACACGGAGGCCCGCGTCACCCGAGTTACTTGCCCGGCACTGAGTTTCTACACTCGTGTTCAAGGTAAAGCCACTGGGGAGTCCCATCATCATAAAAAGACATGGTTCAGAACAAAGCCTACCAGTGCTCTCGACCCCAGACTGGAGCTCCTCAGTGTCTCGAGCTCTTCGGTCATCTTGGAAGCAAGAGCCTGAAGGTAACCTCGGGCGTCTTTCTCGTCACTGACCCTAGAGAAGGACCATAGAGACCCAGTGAGAGGAGCCGAAAACGAGGACAGGTTCCTGCCCCCCGTGGGACAAAGTGACATAGCGTCCCATCGGCCGGAGCGGTCGCCCACGACCAACGAACGGCTCCGCTAGCAAGGGCCACCCCAGTCCCTCTCTGCCGTGTTGCGCGGGGGCCCGGCCTCCCTTTCGCTAGAACGTGTGGGGTGTGCCAGCCTGACCCACGCCTCCAGGGACCTGGTGCACTTTCTCCACCTATAGTCCAACGTGAAGAACACCGGACAGAACTGCGGCCCCTCGACAGCGGCGATTCGGGAGAGGGCGGCGGGTCCGTGCCGAGGCCTCAGGGCAGCGGCGCGGGTGGAGGGAGCGCGAGCAGTGTGGCAGGGCTGGGGAAGGGCGGGCGGGCACACGTACCACTGAATGATCTCTGCGATCTGGGCTTCCCAGTGGGCCACCGACTCCTTCTTGGCCGCCAGGTCCTGTAGTTCATCCTCCAGCTGTCTATTTTGAGCTGTGAGTTTATCCACAAAGGAACAAAGCTGAAATTAAACAATTGTACCACATAACTCGTTATTTGGTGTCCTTTAAACGTGACCTTAGCGTTATTAAAGCTACACGTTCTTTGGAAGATTTTGAAAGTTTTCTTAAATCGTTGTGAGATTTTGCTCCAAACTTCATCTCAGATACGGACTTTTCAAATGTATCTAACTTTGGTCACATTTCAACCCAAATCTGAACAGACAAATGACAAGAGCAGGGGATTTCAGGAAATTAGCAGCTTCTAACCCAACGGAAACGTGTTCCTTCACGTAGGAAGCAAGCTGCGTAAACCACCCGACTCCCAGGACCCGCGACCGGGAACCAGAGCCCCGAGCGGTGGCATGGACTAGATTACCCGCTCGTTCTCAGCTGTCAGCTTCTTGTTTTCCTCAAACAGCATCGCCCTTTCGCGCTCGTATTTGTCTCTTATCGTGCCGACTGCTTCCTCCATTTCGGCGTGCCTGGGAAGGTGCGAGAGCGGCGGTTCAGAAGCTCCGTGAGCCAATCCTCTCGGTGGCGGGGGCACAAGCCCGCGCTCACAGCACCGAAGGGCGCATGAAAACCTACCGTTCTCGCTTTGACTTTTCCAATTTGTCTTTCAGCATGAGAACTTCCTTCTGCAGGGCCAGCTGGTGGCTTTCCGAATCGTGTACCTCCTTTTTCACATTTTTTACTTCCAGCACATGGGAGGCCTCACGCCTGACCAACTCCTCTTCATAGAACAGGACTTTCTTCTCAAGTTCAGATCTGATTTTGGAAATCTCCTGCTGATGTTCTAAGGTGGCCCCCGGGCCCCGGCCTCCTTGCTTCATCTGAAGAGAAGGTAAAATAAATTACAGGTCCGTGTCTTCCCCTCGAGGGCCGCACGGCCCTCCACCCACACCCTGTGCGGGCACCCGTACACGCGGCTTCTCCTGTCCCCTCCCCACCAATGGCAGGCACCGCGCCCGATGCAGCTGGCCACGGCCGCGAGGTCCTTCTAACAACCGTCGGGCAGATCTGAGGGGCTGACAGCACCTACCTTGCACAAGGGACGTGCCCAGATCTGCCTAGGACCCCGGAAGCTCTGTCTACACCCTGACACAATCGGTCCCCAAAGCCTCCTCACAGTTTGTTAATTCGGGCGACTATGTGTCAGGCCCCTTTGTGGTTAAGAGGGTCACATCGAGGTCCCTGCTCTCGTGGGGCAGACAGGGAAAGACCGACGGCCAAGCAGCAAATGAGCAACGAGACACTGACACAGGGCAACGCGGTGAAACGTGGGGGTGTGGTGCCCAGCGGACAGTTAAAGGAGCCGTTGACGCAGGGACACGTGAAGTGCCACATCAGGCGGAAGGTTCTCCAGCACGGTGACAAACAGCAAGGTGAACGCAGTGAGCTGGGTGGTAAACGCTGGGAGGGCCTCTGTCAGGGCCCGAGTCACTGGGAGCTGCTGGGGGCACTGACGACAGGACGCGCCCTGGTTGCCGTGGGGGTGGGGGGGTGGGGGGGTGGTGGACTGTCAGCACCAGCGGCGACGAGCAGACTCAGGCACGAGCAGGCAGAAGTCCAGGCCCCGGGGCTGCCGCCCACAGGCCCAGACGGCAGCAAGGACGAAGGAGGGAAAAGAGGCCCGCCCGAGGTGCATGCTGGGGAGAGAGCGGGCCTATCGTCTCCACCGGCAGATGAGGAAACCCAGGCTCAGAAAGGGGACTCGTGCCCCTGAGGTCACGCCAGGCTAACAAAGAGCCCCCCCTCCCCCCCCTCCTCACCCCTGTTCTGGCCCCTGGCACCTCTCTGCTCGCTCGCTCGCTCACTCCCTCCCGAGGTGCCCGGCTGCCCTTGGCCCCGGGCCACTGGCCCGTCTTCAACTTCAGCGGCAGGACACGGGCTTTAAGGAACTTTTTCAGAAATGGTCTCACTGAACACACGGCAGGTGTCAGGTGTTAGTTTATCAGGACTTACGAGACACTGCCTGACACTTTAAGGAAGGAAAACAGCGAAGGAACTCAGGTTCTAAACGGAAAGAAGGCTGTCATTAAGGCACGTTTGTGACCTGTCCCCTCCCCACACCCCGTCCTTCCGGACAAGCCCAGCGTGCGGGAGGACTCCCAGCACGACAGTCAGGAAGGAGGACGGGCTGGTCTCCTACAGGTACTACCTTGAGGGCCTCGAGCTCACTCTCCACTTGCTTGGAGAAGTTCTCGCTGTGCTCGCGAAGCTTGCGCTCCCGGGAGGCCTCGGCGACGGTGTCCTCCAGGCGGGCTTCCAGCTGCAAGGGGGGGCACAGTGCTCACCAGCACGAAGCCGGCCCTGCCCTGGGGCTCTCTGCGGACGGCCCTGAGGGCCTGTTGCTCCTACCTCCGCACCCGATCCCAGGCCCAGTTAACGGCGGAGAAAGACACTTTAAGGCTCGACTGGAACAGCTGGTTAGTAATAAACCAAGTTTAAATTCTAATGTAAACCAACAACTTGGCATTAAGTTTCCGGACAGGAGACGGACTGGTGACACAGGCAATTGGGATGTCTGCAGATCACAAATCCATCTATCGACTGGTGAAGGTCACGCGCACGTGCCCAAGCAGGGAGCAGCGGAAAGGACCCCCTGCACCTCGGCCGGCTGAGTGCCCTCTCCCTTTACTTTAAAGCAGATCCCAGATGCTGCAGTGACCTGCCCGGAGTGTGGACACTAATGCTTCGCTAGGGGTTCCACTGATGCTATAGCTACAAATGCATCTGGGTTGCAAAATAAACGGAAAAAAAACAAGTAGGTGTTTTGACACCGACTGACAAAGAGCATGTACTTATAGAGCATCCGATTTTTTACCAAGCAAGTTGTAACAGAATTCAATCCTAAGGGCTGCTTAAAATATGACACTCGTTAATGGAAGAGTATTTGGAGTTAGTCTAGGGCAGCCAGTTCTCAAAGCGGGGTCCTGGGGCCCTTTCTAAAAAAGACCCTTCTTTTTTTAATTATCTGGGTTTTCTTCAAATACTTTATCCAAAACAGTGTAACACAACAGAACGAATGCAGAAATAGTTTATCAAGCCAGTTATTAAAGAAAAGCACAAAAATGTAAAAATGCCATTCTTCTCACCAGATGGGGGAAGGGAGTTACTTTTCACAAAAACTGTCAGTTAACACGTAACGGGTTTACTGTTGAACTGAAAAAAGTGTTTTAATCTCTAACCTGGTAAGTATGAGGAGCTGTAACCGCCACAAACGAAAGCTCTTTGGGGGCCTCAACAGTTCTTAAGAGCATGATGTAGTTCCGAAACCAAAGTTTCAGAGCCACTGGGCTGACTGGGGGCGCCAGGCTGAGCCTGGTCGTCCTCCTGGCCGCCCCTTATGGACGTAGGACTCGTATTCACGTAGGCTGTGCTGTGCCAACTACGTCCCGACACGTTTACGTTCTGTTTGTTGGGCAGAAATACCCTCTATTTGCTTTAAAAGGGAATTTTTAAAAACTAATGCCCTAAGAAATGTCTTTTAATAATTTCACCAATAGGTATCGGGGGCTGAGAAGTACAAAGGAAATATTTGGCAGGTCAACTTATTTGGCTTCTCATAAAATTTAAGATCCGTTTTAAAGTAACTCATGTAATTTAGCCCACGTTCTCGAAGGTGTTCTAGTAGGAGCATACAAAAGCCCGAACAGTACAATCCCCGAAACGGCTACGAAGCTACCTCTTTCCTCAACTTCTCCGACTTGCGGATTTCCTGCCGCATGGAGTCGATCTTCTGCATGGCTACCTCTACCTCTTCCTCTTTGTCCCGCAGCTGCCGGGATGCCTTTTGCTTCTGGGAGCGGAGTTCTGCCATGCGCTCGTTCAGCTCGGAGAACTCCTGCAGGGCCAGCTTGCGTTGCTGGTGGGCGTCTTTGAGCTCTCTGGCCTGGGACTTCAATCGCTCGGAAGCTTCAATCAGTTGCTGAACAGAAAGAATGACAGAGGTTTTACGTTTGCTTCGCAGAGACGCGGAAGGCTGGCCGTTCAATCCTCTCCCGAAATGCTGCTTACAGGCCACGGCCGAGAGCCAAGGGCTCACCTCTGTGAAAAAGCCCTTGGCTAGGCCCCAGCACAGCTACGAGCAGCCTGGAAGAAGACCCACCTGAGCAGAGGTGCTAAGATCGAACTCCCTCCGGGAAAGACCCCCAATTACGCGGCGACCAGAAGCCCGAGCTCTGCCAGCCAGAGGGAAGGCCTGCTCACAGCACAGGCTCACGTGTTTCGACCTCTCCCCTATGCCGTCCACAAGGCCATAAAGGCGGACGGAGCGTGAATGTGGTCACCAACCCAGTTATTGAAACAGCAGAATTGGGAAAGAACACGTTACGTACAAAAAAGCTTAAGAGTTCCATCAAGGTAAAGAACCACATAAAAACGACTGTTGGACAGCTAGCCCCTGACGAGAGTGAGGTTATGGTGGCCCCCCTGGCTGCACCCGTGGCCTCCCCTTCCCGCAGCCAGTTCGTCTACGACTGGGTGGCACAGTCACGGTGGCACCTATTGGTCTGATGTCGGAAGTAGCTGGATCTGGGGGGAAGGGGGGACTCCACCAGGGCCGGGCCAGGCTCAGTGAGCTGCTGAACCTACACTAGCGTACCGGGGAGTCTCCTGTCCCCTGTGCACTTCTCGACAAAGCGCCGTGGTTAGGACACCACGACAGACTGAACAATCTGGGTCTGAAATCCTGCACGTTTTAGAACACAAAGCAAACTGCAGGTTTAATGACTTAAGTGTATAAACGAATGTACTTTAGAAAACAATCCTGGTATGAATACACTACCGACCGAACATACAATCTGATACATTTTACTGAAAATCAAATTTATAAAGGGGTTTTGGGGGGACTCACCCAAATTTTAACAAACGGTTTCTTTTGCAAGGCCCTGTCATACAAAGAGCCCCTGCTGAAAGAAGGGGAGGAGGCCGCTGGAAGGGGGAGGACTCTGGCACCGGATACCAGCGTGTGAACCCAGCTGGGTCAGCTGCTGTGGGGACGTGGGGACCCTCAGGCCCTGGGCATCGCCGGGTCCTGGTGCACAGCCCGCCCAGCAGGCCTGTGGCAAGGACCGATGTGGTGACCGGTGCTGAGGCCGCCCACTTCACGGCCAGCCACCTGGCAGGCTGCGTGGTCGGCGGCACGGCATGACCCTGAGGCAGTCTGGCCCCTCGTGGACTGCACGCAACATGGCCCAGGGCGCAGACGAGGGTCCTGAGGAGGGCTCAGACCCCCACACAACTTCAAGGTCACAACTGCACATCGCTGAAACCTGTCTCACGTGAAATTACCCCCAACTACCTTGTGAAAATCCTCCTTTTCCTGCCGCACCACGCGGTACTGCTTCTCCAGGCCTTTCAGCCGCTGTGTGGAATCCTCATGCTCCTGGCGAAGGGTCACTGTGTCCTCCAGCTGTCGCTCGAGCCTACTGGAGTCTGAACAGAGAGAAAATAAACCGCGTTCCCTTACAGGAAAAACTTCACGTCAGCTGACTTCCTGATAGTGAATTCGTTAAGGATCCTTCACTCACTTTATCGCTTAGTAACCTTCTTGCTTTCTCACACATGGAAAAGTCACGTATGCAGCCACCCGCGTGGACTGATGGGGTAATCGCTCTCCCCTGGGGACCGGGGACTGTGTGAGCCCGTGTGCACGGGCACAGGGCAACAGAGGTGCGCAGTAAGGCTGATCATGGGCTCACTCGGGGCCCCTCTCAGCACCAGGATGCTGGGGTTCCAGAGAGAAAATGGAGGGCGGAGGATTAAGACTCGAAAGCGATTTGAATCTTCAGGAAGCTCTGATAATCTAGGAGCCGCAAAGGACAGATGGTGACGACGGAGCCAGCCCCTAAAATACTGCAAACGGCAGGCACAGCCACTGAGGACGCTTCGGAGAGAAATACGCTGTGGCACTGGTGCCTCAGGGCCACCAAGGGGAGAATGGGTCAGAGAAATGTAAACCTTTCTGAGACTTCACGGGTAAAATGCTAAGAAGTGATTCTAGCTGCAACTGTAAAAGTCTCTCATTGGTGGGCCAAGCAAGTTGGAGAGAGAACGTCAGGTGAACGGACGGAAAGAAACGGGAGACCTGTATGTACGTTACAGAAGCCAACGCCGCTCTCCTTTTCCACCCTACAAAAAGGGCTCTGAAAATCTTCTTGGACGGGATTAACGCCCAGGAACACAGACGAAGCAGCCTCTTTAAGACACCTACCTGCTATTTTATTCTTCAGACGCTCTATCTCCTCATTTAGCTTTTTGATTTCCTTATCGCGGGCTGAGCCGCCCAGGGCCCGGGTGGAGCCGTGCAGGGACTGCACCGTCTGGGTGGACTCTACGGCAGGGAGACAGGCGTGAGGGAAGGGGACAGGGGGAGCGGGGGGGGG